GGGTGACGTTGCGCGAGCCTGTGACCCGCGTGATAGACGCGATCAGTCACCGCCGCCGCCGCCGATTTGGCGACTCGCAACCTGCCTTCGACGACGACGGCGGCGCGCACAGGCACGCCACTGACGATAATCATGGACTCCTTCGCATACCGCATCACTTTGGGCCATCATGTAGTTCTCAGTTCAGAATACAGAGGACAAGCCGTCGTACGCCTTAGCTGAATGTGCTGTCTGCGGTCTCTATATATTTCAGGCTACTACATTTTCATGAATACTGCATCGGTCTGGTCAACATCCCCATCACATATGCCCGAAAACGCCGCGCGGCCGGTAGGGCTCCTCAAGCGCCTCGATATCCTCCTCGCTAAGCTTGATACCCACCGACCCAACAAGCTCCTCAAGGTTCTTCAAGCTCGTAGTGCCCACAATCGGCGCCGTAGTCTTCGCCATGACCCACGCGAGAGAGACCTGCGCCATGCTCAACCCGTTTCTCTTTGCGATCTCTTCCGTCCGGTTGACCACGGCGTCCGTCGCGGGAGCCTCGTACCCCTTCTGCCAGACCTTGTCCACTTCCTTGCGCGTTGAGCTCTGCGTGAGTGGGCGCGTGAGTACGCCCTGGGCGAGCGGCGACCACGGGATACAGCCGACGCCGAAGTGCTTCAGCGTTGCCATCATCTCGCGCTCTTCCTCGCGGTACACTGACAATTCCGTGAGTGCCACGATGGCTATTCGGTGGGAGGCGCTTACCGAGGTTATAGTGGTTTTGCATGCTGATGAACGGCGTAAGCTTGTTCGCGATGGCGTAGTTCTGCATAGCATGGACTGCAGGCACTCAGTCAGTGGTGTATGTTCATGTGAGGAGGAGACATGATGCTCACATTGCCAAGCGTAGCAACTGCTCATGCCGATGTACCGCACCTTGCCGCTCTGGACAACGTCGTGCAGCGCCTGCATAGTCTCCTCGATCGGCGTGTTGTAGTCGAAGCGGTGGCACTGCAGCAGGTCGATGTACTCGAGGCCGAGGCGCTCGAGCGAGCGATCGACGCTATCGAAGATATGCTTGCGCGAGAGGCCGTTCTGGTTCACGTATCCGGCGGCGTTGATGTCCTCTGGCGTCATCCTGTACAGCACCGTTAGTTGAATGCGAGTTGACGAACGCTTCAAATATGACTCACCCCCAAGTCTCGAGCTTCATGTCCCACGCGACGGTAAAGTACACCTTGCTGTGTCTTGATCAATCAAGCCTGACTGGGGATTCATCGCACAGACTCACGTCATGACAACAATCTCGTCGCGATTCATGTCGAACTGCTTGATCGCCTTGCCTAGGATCTCCTCGCTACGGCCATTCGAGTACACGTTCGCAGTATCAAAGGCATTGATACCATGATCGTAAGCATACTTGATGTGCTTGAGCGCCTCTTCCTCCTCGAGCACCCAGCCTTGCCAGTCCGGCGAGCCATACGACATGCATCCCAAGATGATCTAGTCGAAATCAGCCGTTATCGGTACCATTATCAGTTGTGTATAGGGTACCTTGGAGACTTTCAAGCCCGATTTGCCAAGGCGGACTATCGCTGAGGTCAGATCAAGCGCTTTACCGCACATCTTCGCGCTAATGAGACGTACCATAGGGCATACTCTTGCGCGTAACTTCAGTTGCCATCCTTCCTATGTAAAGCAGGGATGTGGTCTCGAAGAATGAGTCTACCACAGAAAAGAATACGCACTTTTATACCTCCTCAGCGCTAGCTCGCGGGATGCTGTAATGCTAGAGAAATGCGCGCGGCGACCCAGTCGGTTGTGCGCGACCCACATCTTCAAAACCCTCCAAATCGTTCTGCCGACGCGTTGCGAAAGTCATCCACGGATTCAGGCGGGACATCCGTTGATAAGCTATTGCAACATGGTATGCGTGAAGGTTGTAGACATATTTGATGGGCTTGTAAACAGCGATTCGGCACTCGCCGAACTGTCTTCGCTCGGCTTTTCCGTGTCTCTTTTACTTCCGATCACAGGCATTCAGGCTCGTGTTCTGTCAGGCATAGTAAGAGATAGCCCTGCCGATATGAGAAAGACGCTCTCCTGTGAGGCCTGTTTCGTACCGTCGTCCATCACGCAGGCGAGGGGACCAACGGGCGTCGTCGGGTTCACGGATATCTCGGCCCAGCCCGACATTCGCAGAAGTCGCGCTGCGCTACAAACAACCACAGTATTACTCTGTAGACTCACAGGCCTCTCGTACTTTGAAGTGTATGCAATGTGTAGATGTCATGGCTTCATTTTTCTTGAGCTTGGATAGCGTTTCCAGCGCCCGGCGTCTATCTGTGGTCGGCGCATTAACGGGTCTCCTCCCCTTCGCAACGTCAGGCCAAGTCGCCCTTCCATAGGGTGGATGGAGCATCGACTAATTTCTGTATGCGGCATATAAACGTAATTGACGTAAAGTAGAAGTGTGCTACTGGTCTTATCATGAATATAGAGTAAATCCATAGGCGGGTGGATGCAGTACGTAGAGCAACAGTTCAGGCGGACAGATGGATATTGATCCAGTAGAGAGGATAACGCCCGTTGGCATCGTCTTGTGGGGATCGACGTGCAATCGCATCGATTAGAGGATCCAGAACAATCGATGAGTGCGCCATTGTGGTTTATGTCGCCGCGTGCAGGAAAACGAATGAGATATTCGCCAGCCGCACGTGCCATTCGGCCCGACCACGCCGCATGGAGGTTGACCTCGCGCGCGTTCTTCCTCTCTTCCTCTTGCACACCACCACACCGCACCGTCCTCCGACACCTGAGACATCGAAGCATTGGTGACAAGGTTGAATAGACCATCCACCATAGTCGTACGTCGATCTTCTTCAGCATTATCGTCCCGCGCCGCCCGCTAACGCCCATGCCACCCGCAGACCATGAAGCTATCTCATCGCGGTCTAAACGCGTGGATCTCGAGCGACAATGAAGAGCAGGACATCTATGTATGGAGTCCCCATGGAGAAAACGTTAACAAGGCGAGGTGGGAGGAGAAACTGAAAGCTGATCTGGTGGCCGGCCACATCGCTGTCGAAGGGGGCCAGGTCCGTCGCCGGTGGCTCGCCGCCATTGACCACCACTCGCGTCCATGATGCTAATCCCATTCTTTTCAGAGGTTGCGCGTGAACGTTGAGAGCGATGGCTCATTGGGCGCCATCGCCATATTCCTGAGTGTCGATGGCGTTCCCCTCCACGGACCGTTCCTCAAAGGGAAAGGCACTGCGTGGATGGATGGCGTCTCCTGTGCACCAAAGTCGGGCAAGATGTCTGGGAGGTTTTGCTTCGAGTATACGAGCTACGAAGGTATGCTTGAAGCTTCCGTGAGGCTGTGTGGTTTCTGATGCCTGGCTTAGCCCGGCATATTGAGAAGAACCGGAAGTATCACGGCGCAATCGGTGTCCTCGTACGCTTCCTTGGTTCATACGAAGGTCCGCCAGGCGACGAAGACGACGACGATATCGAGGTTCTGGATAACATCGACCTCCCCGACACTTGGCGGGGTTCATTTCGTCAAGATCCTGAGAGTAGTTTGCGGGTTGGGTTCGTGACGTCCATTCAGATTCATCATGGCATTTGTTGCTGACATCGGCGATCAGTGTTGATGGTGAGAGTGAAGGCGAGCGAAAGTTTCCAACGTACTACCTCAAGCGGAGGCAAAGCCAGCAGGACCCTGTCGAGTTCCTGTTCAAGTATCATACACTCGGTAAGAGGATCTCTTTTCTTCGTATCCCGGACTGTTGCTAATCTTCTTCAGAGTACTTCCAGGCCAACGACTACAAGCCCATGCGGAAGATGGAGATGGAGCTAGAAAGCAAGAAGCCTTCGGACTCTGTGCCAATTGCTGCACCAATCCCTGCACCAATCCCTGCACCAGTCGCTGCGCCAGTTTTTGCGCCAGTCCCTGCGCCAGTCGCCGCGCCATCCGTTGGGCCACAGAAGCGCAAGGCAAGTGAGGAGGATACGATCGCTACCGCTCCTAAGGCGCCGGTAAAGAAGCCTCGTAAGGGCAAGCAGCGCGAGGTTAGTACCAATACCTAGGATGGACTGTCAGGATATTGACTGAGCACACGCATTTAGGTAACCCAACCTGAGACCAATGGCACGAGCGTCCTTGTCGATATTAGCAGCCTGCCTGCCGTGGGCAGTTCTCTTCATCCTGCGGGCACGCGTTCGTCGCCAAGCGAGAGCGCCTTCGTCCTGAATCCTCCGATTGTCCCTTCACAAATGGCGGTCCCCATGCCCATCGCTCACGACGCGACGGTGATGTCGACGCACGCAAGCAATCATGCACAACCGCGCGGCGCTCCCACTTTCGCCACAAGCCACGTAACTCAACCCGCGCCCTCGCACGCACGATTCTCTGGCGCTCCGGGATACAATGACACCTTGGCATTCAACGCGCCCGCTCAGCCGTACGGGGATCCTGCCCGCGGCCAGGCTATTGGGCAGGCCGCGCCGCTGCGTCGCGGGAACTCTCAACACAGCCATGCAGTAGCGATGCATCCTCCCAACTTCATTCAGCCCCCGCCGCACTCTATTCAGCCCGCCATCAACATCAATCCCGCCTGGGCCGCTCAGCCACCTCGGGCCCCGTCGCGCTTCGCGCTTGCTCATCTCTCTGGCGTCGTTCATAACGACACAGAGACCGTACAACTAAACACGGGCGGGTACGCGCTGCTGCAGGGACAGCAGTCGCACAACCGCCCAATGTACCAGTCGCAGGCCCCTGCGCCCGCATGGTACGATCAACCCACGGCTTTCAACCAGGTTGGTCATCCGATTCCCAACGGTGTCCAAGGTGTTCCAAACCATCACTTCGGCGGTACGTCCTCTGGCCAATACAGCCAGCCGCAGCGCAACCCCTCCATGCGTGGCTACGGACAACCTCCGATGGACTCCTTGCCGCTCGAGTATCCACTCGCGGGACCATCAAACGCGCGTCCATTGCCATCCACCAACGCCACCATCCAGCACTCGACGACCATTCCAGCAAACGCCCAGCCATACGAGCCTCCAGTCCAGATGCAGAACTATGCCACGGGTGGAAACGACTTACCTGATGAGATGGCCGCCTTGCTAGCAGATGATGAATTTTGGAAGGACTTTGACCGTGACGTCTTGACAGGCTCTTACAAATTTCTGAATGATTATGGTCAGGATACAGAGGGCCAGTAGATGCACATATGTAAGAACCTACAAGTAGTCGCGCCTGAATAACATGTACAATGTATCTGATAGTCGTCTCTTGAACTTCGAGAGCCGTCAGCCGTGTGTGTGTTGTGTGGATAAGCACCCCGATCCTTACGATCCTAGTCAGAGTGCATGCATTGTTCGTATATTCGCTAGCTCATCTGCATCAGAAGGGGGCCACACAAACCCCAGCGGCGGCGATCGTCGTCGTCGGACGCCAGGCGTGGCATCGTGCCGCGCGCGCTCGTTGTTTCGGCACCGGCGGCGCGGCGCGTGTCGGGTAATGGTGCGTGTGGACGCTTGATGGCGTCGCACGTGTCTTAGCCGCTAGCCCTTAAGGTTTCAATTCGTTCCTAAGCTCGGTTTCTGCACTCATACTCTACGAACGGTCTCACTCGTCGATGTATCGTGCATATCTTGAACTTATACAATCATACAAGGGAGAATGCTAGACGACTGTTCCTGCCAAAGAGACGCGTATCCGGATCCTATCCTCCAACCTCGATAGCCTGGCATAAGCAGCGCTTGCGTCGAGGGATTTGACTGTCCTGTCAACTTCACGCAGGGCGCCATGATCGCCTCTTGAGGGCCAAGTTCTTTCCGCGTATAGTTCGGAGGGGTTTCGAGGTCGGCAAGCGCCGCTAAGTGGAATGTGTACTGATGTCGAAGGTCTTGACTACACGCCGAGGGAGAGCGAAAGAGTAAGGCGATGGTGAAGAGAGCATAGTCGAGCGCGGGGAAGTCATTGTGAAGGATGAGCTCTCCCTACACCACCCGTATCCAACCAAGCGCACACCAACGAAGTACATCGCGTGCGCTCTGAGTTCGGGCGAGCAGTATAGGGGGCAGAGCGGTGCGAGAATGCGCACAACGCTCGAAGTCGGCCTAGAGAGTGGGAGTAAGAGTCAGAGAGGGAGGAGAAGACCAGGATGGTGCATAGAGACTCACAACATTGGCGCATCTGCTCTCTTATAGTGACGAGCTCGGGTAGGAGGTCAGACGCGGTAGGTTGAACCACCTCCACCATTGTCGATCTCTCCGACCGAGCTGGTCGGCTCGTTATTGTCATCGCCGAACGCGCGTCATGCCCAGGACCTGCTCATATGAGGTCAATCATGCAAGTCGGAGTTGGAACGACCACAGATCGGCACCTGAGATGGCCCACGCAGGTGTACGCGAGCACACGTTGACTGCATGGGTTGAGATTGCTTGATAGTCGTGGTCTTCATCCTCGTAGAGTCGTATTTTGTATGTTGGAGAAGGTAAAACAAGAGGCATCTGGGTAATGGGAGCGGGCGTTAGCATTTCAAATGGATCGGGGAAACCACGCTCGAAGAGCGTCACGAAGACGTGAGTGGGTTGGCCGACAATTCGGACAAGCAGACATCCTCGCTCGTAGAGTTCGTTGGGGGAAGTGGCGCGCAATACAGCAAAAGTCAAAGTTCTACAGACATCATCGTAGCTATTCCTTGGAACCGTGAGAGAAAGCGCTCTCATTCGAGGGCTGTGATGATCGACCAAGACTGGGTCATTTCTTGAAGACAACCCTCGCAAGTCGCGTACAGCTCTTCCGGAGAGCCACACGGAGCAATCGGGCGGAGTATCCGAAGAGCGATCCAGTCTCAGCAGGTTCTCAGCAGGCGGAACGCCTGAACCATCCTCGCAGCACGATCTCATTGACGGAGTGGTTGACCGACGCGAGGCCCGACGCGAGGCGGGGCGCATCAGACGCTCGCAGATATTCCCGACGGCGCCCGACGCACACCATATTGGGGCATTGCCGAAGAAGGATCGAAGATATACGGGAACATATGGGCGCCCTGGTATCAAGAGGTGTTTCCATGTGTACATCTAGGTAACCCGTCAGGCGAGAGAAATGGGGCCAAGCGGCAGTGAACGCACCTAGGGAAGTCCCATACAGTGCGCGCTACCTTTATATATCAGCGTATCCTCCTCGTCCAATGTGTGAAAGGTGATTGGGCCGGTACATTCATGTGAGTAACTAGCAGAGCGCCTCTCGAAAAGGTCAATGTACGCCAGAACGTAGTCTGGCAGGAAGCGGGGACCGGGTACCCATCATGGCGGGTCAAACAAATGGAAAGTTGCTCGACATAATCTCATGAGTCTTGAATTGATCAAGCAACAGTGCGCGGATGCTGAGTGTGGAGAACAGTCCTCGACGATGGGTGTCAAGAGCAAGATCCATGTGGGAACGTATAACAACACGGATCAAGGCCACGCGCGGCTCGGTTTGAGCCGTAACTTGCCGACGCCCGTCATGGTCTCGAGTTTCGACATGCGCTCTCTACTGTATCTGAAAGACATGGATCGTCGACTCTTTGGACTATCAGTACTCCCTCAACGGCAATCTGGCAACGAGGGTTTCTTCGGCCGAACATCGATCTACATAATCTTTCCGAGCTGTTCAAGTCTGAACGTTTGAACAAAGGTCGCGCCTTGGCGGAAAGCACATCTGCCCACGATAAGTGGCCCGACTGCCGAAAGCGCTCGACTATCTGACCATGTTGAAGGCCCCATCACTCGTGGCAACGACATCGATAGCAATGCGCGCGGCGTTGAGCAGTCCGAAGCCCGGGCTGCAGCGCCTTGGGCGCTTTGCTTCTCAGCTTAGGCCATATAGTCTCCAGGTTTTCCGCATTCTCGAGAGCCACCTCTGATCTTGGGCTAGTGCCGGCTATTCAGATCATTTGATCATTTAGGCGTAGTTTCCGTGAGATATAGATATGCGTAGGACATACCATTAGACAAGGAACATGTACTAGTATCCGTGAAAGAGACTATCCTCATAGCAAAAGGGTTTGTAAATTTCCGCTGTATCGCTACGCGTTCGTCCATGACGATTTGTGTCTTCTCAAGCCTGCTATCAGCAGTTTCACGTTTGCGTAGACGTTAGTCTTAGTAGATCGATATCGAAGCACGCCGGCGGGATTCAGAGCTAATCTACATGATAGACATGAAGGTGTTGAAAGCCGTCGTGAGTTGACAACGACAACCACACTCCTTCGTCTGTGTCACAGGTGAAAGCAGGAACTTCAATTGTCTGCTTTGATCCAAGTGGCCTGTGGGAGTGTGCCATCTCAAGCAAACCACATCGCGCGCCAGTTGGTACTTAGAAAGCGCCAATTGGAGTCTGGACCTTTTATTTCCAACCTGTCGCTACTTGCGCCTACGTCCACGGCTCACCTCACACTCGCCCACGTCCAGGACGCCACCCACCCACAGTTCACTCCGCTTTCCCCCTCAGGCCATGCTTTGCAAGGTACTCAAGTATAGCAATATAATCAGGCTTGACGCTGACTACAGATCAATCGTAGATATTTTACATCAACTCCGATATCGTCGCTCTCGAGATGACGCCGAACGCCGAGAATGCCCTCGGGCACCACCACCTTGTCTTCTACAATATCTCCGTCTGCAAGATGCCCGTCAAGGTACGTTCATCTCTCATGGCAACTGTCGTACACTGCTGAACGCGCCTACAGTATCCAACGGTGCCACGAACGTGGGCGCAACATGCGGAACTGCGTGCATCCGAGTACGCCCAGTACTTGGACAGTCTCTCGGACGAAGAATATGCCGCGCTTGAGGCTGAAGGCAAGCTGTCTGACGAGGAGGACGCGGGTGACGGTGCGGAGGGGTGCGCTTGCGTGGACGAGGGCATCGATTTCTTTGTCGGCGGCGAAGTCAGCAAGGATGTCGGGGCCGATTCGGATGCACAGTAGGCGGGGGCCGCTCGAAAGATTCATATCCTTTCTCCTATCATAGCATCAGCATCCTAGCCAATGCGACACTCCATCCACAAAAATGCACGTACATTTTCGCACAACGAAAGTCTGAGTTATAACAGCCTTACGCCTCGACGCCGCGGTGTATTCCAGCGGCTTCGCGTACGTTGTTTACAAGAGGTTGCCTTCTGTGCTGTGAAAATCACGCCTCGGTTAAGCGGATGCATCGTGATTTACGCTCAGTACAACCACCAGCGTAGAGTCATCCAACGAGGGTCGAAATGGGTCAGCGCTCTCGCAATCCACCGCACAGATGATGAAAATATAAATCTCCATGTCGATTGTAATCACGTTAGCGCGATAGAGAAATTTTCCTATTCTCTGGGTGGTTAATGACACGGAAAACGGAGGAAACATGTTGCGGTACAGGCGTCGGAAGAGCTCGGATTATGCCGCGTTCAGTGGGACTTTAACGCGCGCGCGACTCTGTCCTTCCCCCCACCACCAAGCCTCACTTGCCTCATCCCACCTTCCCCACAACCACCACTTCCGAACACGCATTGTTTCCACCATGAGCAACAACGACAACACTGCCATGAACATGCCTGAGGACGCTGCCGCCGTGGCGTAAGTGCACAATTGTTCCACAGTTCGGCACCACAGGCGATTCTGAGTTGCCTCCGTTTTCCAGCGCGGCCAACAACGAGCAGAATGAGGATGATCTCACCCTCGTAGACCAGGAGGACATCCTGCTTGTCAATGTGCGTCGTCTTCCGGTTCCACTGTCGACTGGGTACAGAACATTCGCGCAGATGGCAGCTGTAGTGCCCACATACTGCCGCCCGCTGGAGAACCAGAGCGTGAGCTTTGTCAGCGCCCACGCCGCCGGAGACGACGACGGTCATCTTTTCTATGGGCCCAACGTGGATATGGGGCCTTTCACTGCGGATACCTTCGTGAGTGACGTTCGCGAGATCCTCGAGAGTATTCGCTCACCGCGAACTAAAGGACATGGGGCAGTTGAACTTCGGGGCCGGCGCCATGGAATTTGCGCAGCTCCAGGGCTTCTTTCCGTTTCAGGTCGTCGAGAGCGCGCAAGTCATCGTGAACGAAGATGAGCTAGTATGTAGCGTTACTTGATCTCGAAGATGCGTGGCTGAATCGGAATACAGGACGAGACCGAAGATATGGAGGTCGAGGAGGTTCTCGACGTCGAAGACGACGAGCACGACGACGTCTAAACTCCTCGGTCTGCCGAAATGACGTAAGCAAATCTCCTCGCTGCGATGTCACTTAGAGCTGACCTAACCCTGCCATGGATAGCAGCAGCAGCCGACGTCGCGCTCGCGTTCCTCTCGCGAAACCTCCCTCTTGCATCACCACGACTTCTACTTCACTTCGACACAATCAGCACTACCCGCTCCGGTAAAGACCTCAGACTCACCTCACGAACCGTCCATGGCATGCGATACATATCCCCATCTCCCCCAGCTCTCGCCGCTCTGCCTCTCCGCACATCACCTCCGCATATGACTACGCTTCTCACCTCGCATTCTTCTCTCCACCCATCGCATTGTCTCGTTACACCCCCCGTTCTGCTTTTTATATCAGTCTCGCTGTATCAGATCTTCTGGTCTGCAAGATGAATCGAATTCAACATGTACTTCTCATTTCGAGCGTGCGCGGGAGAACGAGCGACGAAACGAGACGTCGATGAATGCTTTAGCATAGTGCGCTTCAGCACAGGGGCCAGTTTCTGGTTGCCACTGTCTAAGTATGCGCGCGTTTTGACGCATGCATTCGGGGAAACTCGTCAAATAGTTGAGATTGAGCTTGGGAGTGGCTTAGGCCGCGACGTGAGCCCTTCATCACAGCCAACCCCCAGATGATCAGAAACGGGACGAGCCTCACCTTTCAGACTCAACCGTTCGATGAGACAGTGCGCAAAAGTATGTATGCGTACGCCATCACGGATTGCTGCTCACGAGCAGGTTTGGGCGCTCGGCAAGTATCGGAAACACGCAGCACGTTGCGAGCTTCGTGTTCGCGCATTTGATGGGGATTCGATTCCGCAAGATGCAAGCCCAGCGGCACACCAGGTGTACATGACGCTGCGTCGACAGGTATGGCATTCGTCTGAGGCGTAGATGGTGGGCGTCGGGCGTCAAGAAGGACATCTATGCGCTCGGGCGACGCTCAAGCGCCTCCGAAGCTCGCCGAGCGCTCGTTGGAGGACGCGACACGTGGCGGACCAATGTTTGCTCTCAACTGCGATGTACGAACCTGAACGACGTTTCGCTCGCATTTTACTGGACGCATGCATACATCGCAGATCAAACACAGTACTCAATGAACGACGAACTGGGTGAACGCGAACGGTGCTAGGTGCAAGTACACGGACGTTGTGCAAGTCCGATGTGCCAGCGATGGCGCTCAGCGCGCTCGATCATGGATCTACGACTGAGAGATGTATGTATGCAGTGCATCTCACACGAAGTACTGGAGCGGGCGGGTATCAATAGCACCTCAACCTTGCTTAGTTGTGCTGGAAGGAGAACATCGGCGCGTCCATGCACGCGCCAGCTTCACACATCGTGAACAGCCTTTGGTCTGACGGGGCTGTCGACAAGGGTCTCCTCACACTTCCAGCGCTCAGGCTGCACCTGAATCATTCAGATGTCACTGATCGATAACCTCGAGAACTCGGCTTCAGCTCCACCGTATCGATACGGGTCGCGGTAGATGAAACCAGGGGACTTGGTGTCTGGACCACTATCTGGCAGCGGATCCCAGGTCTGAGGCACGCCCGATTTGGAGCTTTCATGCGTCGCCTTGAGCTCGACCGTTCTATCGTGCGTTGTGCTCTAGGACGATTCTACGATTGGAGCGATTGATCAAGATGGGCCTGGCGGAGCTGCATACCTGCAGCGTCATAATTGTCGGCTTTGAACGTCGATTCAGCTTTCTGACAACGGCACAGGCGCAAAGATCAGACGTGTGTATGCATGCTGACTGTGCTTGCTACGGATATGATCGCAGCAATGTACAAAGCGAGTACACTCGTCGTATGATTGTGTATCTGAAACGTTCGAAAGCGAATGTAGGTCCTGTGAGGTAGACAACTCGACTTCATCACTTCTCGTTCTCCCCCTCCCCCCCTTCTCGCCCCAATACGATCGTCAGCAGCTCGAGGCACACATGCTTGGATAGGGCGTTTTCTTACGAGTACGACTCGCCCCTGGGGTCCCACACAAAACGTGTACACGGCCGAATCGCCCAACGACTCGATTGTCCAACTTTACTTCCCCGCAGAAGCGCTCGAAGGCATATCCTTGACAGAGCCACCACATACCCCAGACACCACCCTCTTCTCCTTCGCACTTCTCTTCGTCTCAACTTCACCGCACATGGCCGCTTCATAACCGCACAGAAGCGTCTTGACCAGTACAGCCAGCGGCACGCGACCCATCCAGAACAGACCCTGACACGGCCCCGACAAAGACCCTCTTCCCAGCTTCCCTGCGCTCGAACACACAAGCACAAGCTCTATTCCAAAAGGACCGACCCCTCTCAACGTCTTGCGCCCTACAAAGGTCACAGGCCGCCTTGGAAACAGGTACAGCTCACGGCAATCGGAAGATGTCCTCCCGCCGCCTTCTCACTCAGTGCCAACTTCACCGCACCTGACCCGCGCCAGACGCGCCCTTTCCCTGAACTAGCGCCTCCCCTTAATGTCGCGATGCGTTTCGCAGACACACAGAAGCATGGTGGACGCACTCGGGACAAGCGTGGTTCTTGAAGCTTGAGCGCTCGACCTTTGACACAGCAATCGTTTAGAACGCGCCCTGTTTTCGAGTTGAAGCTTCGCTCTATCGCAGCTTCGTTGCGCATCACTCGCTACGATTGCGCCATCCGTAGTACAAGCCGAGCTCGAGGTAGTGCGCTTCAATAGCGGCCCGACGTCTTCCTGGATGCCGACTGCGCCTGCCGCACACGCCCATCATGAGCATCTGAGCGCGAGGCGTCTTCCGCTCAGAAGCGCTCTCGCCCAACCTGCCCCTGGCAGCATAGCACAGGCGCATCCCCACGTTCCCCACGTTCATGTCAAACCTCCCAACTTCACCGCGCCTGACCATCCCAAGCACAAGCCCACTTTCTCGACGTTCTTCGCCGAACCGACCCCCCTTCACGTTCTTCTCCTAGCGGCATAGCGCGCGCGCCTCGCCACCAGGCCATGATCAGGAGCCCACAACAGAAACCCATTCAAAAGAGGGGCTATACGGAAACCGCGAGCTATCACCGAAACGCTGCGAATCACAACAACTTCTGAGTCCAGCTTTTCCATCCATCCCATCCATCCACCCTTAGTACGTGTATCGGGCGGCAAACGACAGGCGGTTCCGCGGGCTTGCCGCAGGGTCGTCTGTAGCCGCCCGCGACACAACATCTGCACGATCTCATT